CTGTTGCATAAAAGAGTAACACTGCAGAAAAGTTTGGATTTAGGAGAGTGGTGATGTGAGAGTATTCTGTGTCTCAATATAAGAGTAGAAAACAAAGATGCAGTTTGTCTTACTGTTATTTTTTCTGATTCCACAGCACCAAAATTCTTGTTCTAAGAGAAGTGTAGCAGGCAGCCTCTTAAACCTGGACACACAGCAGCTGCCTGTTAATCTCTAAGACGCATCAGGTATCTGGGAGGCCGTGAATTGGACTGCAAAGGCTGCCCATGTGTTCAAAGCCAGCTATCTCCGTGGAACTGTGGGTGGAGGTGAAAGTTCTGAATGACGCTAGGATGCCTGGATTGCACAGGGATGCAGAAATATGTACCATAAAAAAGGAATGTCTTATGCTCCTAGACCACTGTTAGAGTCTAATAGCTAGGGTAGGCGTTTCCTCAGATGCTAACAATGCAAACAGACACAAAGTTAAAAAAGAGTCCCGCTGTATTTTATGCATGTGATAATAAATTCATTCTTTAAAGAATGCGAAAGTTTTTTAAAAATAAACAGTAATTTATTTTTTTAAATTAATGCTGGAAACAAAATGTAATGCAAAAATCTGTTTTCACTTGCCTAGACCTCGATAGTTTTAGATAGCAACATAAAAATAATGACTTAAGTATTATAAAGGAGTAACCAAAAAGCAGAAATTGAGTTTCAGTTTCTGTATTAAATACAAAAGAGATCTGTAGTCAACAGGAATGTGGTTGCACTTTCCATGTAAAATATATTGTTAATGCCTATAGGAAAAAATAGCACATGAGATCTAAGATTTATTGACCTACCAGATCTTTAGATGGCATTAGTCTTGGCTTGGGTTTTTTAAAATATAATTTTATTATCTGAAAGACACATCAATTATAAAAGAAATATTTAAGTATATGCATTTTTATGTTTGAATCATTTGTGGACAAAACTGTTGTTAGAAGTCCAACTCTTCTCTATTAGAAATACAAATGTACTGTTAAGGGTGCACCACAGACACTAGAGCCTAAAATATGACGTTTGCGGGTTTTAATACAGATGTCAGAACCTTTTTCATACAATCACTAACATGTAGTTTCACCTTACAAATACAGTACAGTAACTGGAATGAAACGAGCAATTAAATACAGTAATCTAAGACATGGCACTCTTTAATAGAAACTATTTTAACAGGTCAGAAATGAAGAGCTAAATGATTCATACTGAATCTGAGTGGGCATCTATTTTATTAGAGATACCTGGGCTTTCAAAAAAGTATTAAGTAGTTTTCCCCTGATTAACCTGGAGAAATCTAGATTTTTAAAACCAGCAGTATTTAAAACATTGGGCTCTGTGAGACGTATTTTCCACAGGGGTGAAACAAGCTTTCACTCCTAGATTTAACTTGATCCCAGATTGTCTTCACACTAAATGAGTGATGTTGAGGAAACTTCATTGGCATTCAAGGTCTAGTGAATATCATTTGTTTTCTGGGCTTGTGAAAGGTCCACAATAGCTTTAAAATATTAATTGACAGCAGTTCTTCAACTATTAAAACTCTGCTGTCTCCTGCCAGTAAACCTATTTCCATTAAATTTTGTCTGACTGTACAGTCATTTTACTGTTCCACTCATTACATGATAATGTCAAAGTCTTGCCTCACACCTTTTTTTAGCACGGAAAAATCTGCAAATTTGGGAACATTAGCTAAAAATGTGATAGTTTTCAAATTCAAAGAAGATATTTTGTTCTAGTATTCACCTGAGTGTTACTCTAAATTATAAATGAGCTAAAATGTTGAGGACAGAACGTTCTAATAAGGTACAGTACTACAGCATCAGGGGATACAGTGACTTGTTTTACTTAATTCACTGCTGGTGAGCACATCGTGAGATTACCGTGATGTACATTCAGACAGCTAATTTATTTCCCTCACATTTCAAATACTAAATGCGTGCACTATAACAGTGGTAAGGTGTTTTCTGAAATTCTGCCAGCCTCATTTACCAAGCTTCTCGGTTTAAATTAAACCTTTGTTGTCTAATTGAGTGTTATGTATTTTGAATCCTCTAAAAAGCAATATTTACGCAGCAGCGGGGCAAGTGGGAATGTTATTACAGTGGTATCTTGCACTCTGAATCGTAAGAAAACAAATTGCCCCTCGTTTCAGAGTTCCGCCAGTGTACAAGGGTGTGAGTTTTTTTTTCTAGCAGTTGACGTAAGGAGATGCAGAACAATTTGGACATGTTGCAGAAGTACAGTGACTTTATGTCGTGAAGACAGAGTCTCTAGAGGCGTCAGTACTGAGTTTTTCTTCGTGCCTGTTGACAGTATTGTGAACATCTATAGGGAAGTGGTTGAAACTGCCCTATATTATTACCGTTGGTTCTTGTACATATCAAAAAGCACTACAGACATGAGGAAGGAAAACAGAACTATAAACCTAATATGTATCAATACTGTGCAATTCAGATTTTAGCACAAGTGTACTCTGAAATTGTTTTTTTTTTTAGGTTTTGTAAAGTGCATTATTTTTAACAGTATTTTTCTGAAGATTGTATGTTTTTTTTTAAATGGTCATTGTTATTTGTATCGGAATTGCTCAAATAAAACTTTCTCACATATGTCGTGTACCCTTTTTAAAGATACAAAATACATTTTAAAATAAATATCAGCTAATTAAACTCTTCGACTTCATATTCAAATAAGCAGCACGCTGCAATCCGTTTTATACATTCAGTGTATTTATATAGCCTACATAATGCAATAGGAAATCCATGTTAACATATGAAATTTCTAGACGTCTGAATACTTCTGTGGAAGCCCAATAAAATGCACTGACGTTGTGTAGCGTGTATTTATAATGGCAGATGCCGCTGCTGATTTCTGCAGCAGGCAAATCCAAACGTTTAATGAAAATCTGATCACACTTGATACGATCGGGGCCAATTCGCAGGGGAGTTTCCCATTGGCAGAGCCCGCCACCAAAAAAAAAAAAGACATTACCGGGCATGGCCGAAACGTGAATCCGACTCCCAGCAGCTTTGTGCGTTGATTGATTGGTGGGGAAAACTGTATACAGTTTTTCTTCTAGACTGATCTCTTATCCCTCCTCCCCCCCTTCTCTCATTCCGCCCATTCAGGAAAGCGCGTTGCTATGTCCGTGTTCTGTGCAACCTGGGCTGGGATCCACGTATCGCAAACACACAGCAGTGCCTTTTTCTTCCTTCTCCCATGATGCTGCGTTCATTTAACTCTGCACGGCGGAGCCAGCCCCTGCACTAGCGCGGCCAGCCGGGAGCTGTTGTTTTTTTTTTTGGGGGGGGCTTTTTGTGTTTTTATTTGTTTTGTTTTCCTTTGTGTTTTAAAGGGCAACCGGAAAAAAAAAAAACAAAAAACACACGCGCGTCGTTTGGACTGGTCGCTCCAGCTCGTCGTATCCCCCGGCTTGCTTTTTGTTTTGTTTTTGTTTTTTAAAAAAAGGGTGATTTTTTTATCAAGTGCATAATCGACACCAGAGGCAGAGGCATATTCGTCTCCCGAGCTGCCGGAGCGGAGGATGAATTCGATACGACAGGTGCCTTCCAGGGTGAAAAGCAGAAGAAATGAGAACAGTTTGGGGGCGGAGAAAGAGCATTTTGACAAGCAGCAGGTAAAGAGAATATCGCATTGTAAACCGGTGGGCTTGGTTCATTGATAATTTAAAGTCCTACAACTGGGCGAGTAATAGAATTAATTTCACGTGTACGTATACATTGTGTCCTACGTGACAAGACGGGAAGAGTTCAAAAGGTGTCGTCGTCCCCATGTCAGTGAAATCTTTCCAAAAAAAACCAAACAATTTGGGGGGGAAAAGGGGGTTAACTAAGGGGAACCAACCCAAGGTGGCCTCCTGAACCGAAAAAAAAAAATGTGCAGGGCAGAAACATGATGTCAATCATTCGGTGTCTGTTCTGTGTAGCCGTAGCTATCAAAGCGGTCATTAACTGTCCTTGTTTTGTAATTTGTTTGTGTAATATTACTTCTGTTTTGTTCTCGGTGTTGAAACCCGGCTGGGGAGCGCAGTGGCGGGGAGGAGATTGCACATTAATTAAAGAGATTGCTTAAATCTAGACAGGGAAGTGTCCCAAAATAAGTTCACAGTACTCAGACAGCTTAAAAAAAAAGACCCCTCAAAATGCATCGTTATAAAAGTCCTAAATTCGCGCTTTTAAAATCCCGACGTGGATAATAACTGCTAAGAATTCAATATACAGTTGACAGGTCAGTTGAGTCTGCGGTATTTTGCTGAAAAGGGGACTGGTTGGTGTTGGTTTACATACATAAACCGGCAAGGTGGTGATTTCTTTTTAGAAAGTTTGTCTTCCACGCAAAATACGTCATTCAAAGGTGAGTGCACAAATGATGGCTACGAAACAACACCTGATGAAAACATTCATTCTTCCACGTTTGTTTTTTTAACCTGAGCGACGGGCGAACGTCGGCATGAATGCCTCCTTGTAGCCCTGCGAGGGCGCCTCCCTAGCTACCACCGACTTGCTCCCAGCTGATTAGGGAAGTTGTGCACGTCAGGATTCAATGAAAAGGACGTTGTCGGTGGCTTTGCTTACACTTAACGTGATCGGCCTGATGTACAAGCGATACCTGTTCAAGCAGCTTAATCGTGGGTGTCAGCAAACAACTTCGGAAAACAGGCTCCCGTGACCCCCGGGGCATGGAGCTTCAGACTTGACGGAAATTCCTGTGATTCCAGTGGGTTTTCTGTTACATTCGACCCATTACGGCCATTTGGTCCAGTTTATCAGTTTATCACAGCCACTGTAATGCGAACAGCCCCCCCAAAAAAAGATTAATTCTCCTTGACACCCCTTTCCCAAAACGGGGCAGTTCAAACGGGTCAATCAAACCTCATCTCTGTGGGAGATGGAAGGGGACAAAAGCACACAGCTTGCACACTAAATGAATCATAGGGGAGGGAGAATGCCTGTTCCACAAGACTGGTCCCCTGAGCTGGAGTCGAACCCGGAAACATCTGGGAAGTGCGAACCCTTGAACAGAACTGGAGGGGTTCTGCATGACCAGCGGCGTATGGATAACAAAAACCAAATGAAAAGGCGAGCGGCGAGCTCCGGGAGGAAGCGAGTCCAGCGGGGAGAAATTGTCCGGTCTCGCTCCGAGCGGGACGGGCTCATCTCATCCCATCACTCGGCACCTTTCGGGATGAGCTATGATTGAATGGGAAACGCCCTCTTGAGGTCTTTTTTGTTTCTGAAATTCAGACTCCAAGCACAGGGAAAAACTTGGAGGAGTGATGATGATGATGATGATGATGATGATGATGCAGACGGGGGGGGGGGGACGAAGAGCAGGAGGGCGTGAGCCGAGGGCCTCGCCTCTTGCCATTCAGGCTGGGGCGATTCCGACCTCCACAGTGGAAGTCACATCCCACGGAAACAGATTTTGGAGTCATTCAGTATACAGTGAATCCTGTTCTTGATAAAGTGATACAAATATTTGTATTTGTTTCCGTATAACTGCAACATTTTTTTTTAGGTCAGACCTGACTTTTTTATGTCGAATTTTGAACAGACTAGCAGGACCCCCTTGAAAGCAAACTGGGCTGGTGCATCTTAAGGTGTCAGTATGCTTTGAACAAAATGTATGCTTTCTTTTTAAGCAGTCATAATGGTACCTCTATAATAGTGTGGAGTCTGTTTTGCTGCTTCTTAATGATTTTGTATTACAGTAGTACTAGCATGTGAAAGTTCGTAGAAAGTCAGCACGCTTTCACTGAGGAATGTAATTAGTTCCTCTTTTTAGGAAGAATTGAATGCACTCCGATGTTAAAACCTTAGCTTGGACAAAGATTGATGACCTGCAGTGTTGTGATTCTGGGAGGCCCTAGGGAGTCAGTCCATGAGCAGCAAATTAAACGGGCAGCAAGCTAATTAGTGGACTCAAGATGAAGAAAGCACTATCATGATTGTTAAGGTTTTAGAAGGTTAGAAATCACTGCATCCCCTGACACATCACATTTCGCATGCATAAGAGAGAGACTGAAAGTTTCCAAATGGCATCTGTCTGGATTTTTTAATGCTCTTCCACAGGCCTTCCACCATGTTGTCGACCAGAAACTAGATTTTGCAATAATTATCATAAGCAGACTAAGTAAACATTCTTAGATAGAATCGCATTGGAATCACTCGTGCTCAAACAACGAACCTGATCAGAAAGATAATCTTGGAACAGTCCTGATGAGGAGCTTCACTGGACTCAGGGCAGATACAGTGCCTCAGTGTTTATGGCGTGTGGCGCTAGACAAGACCACCCCCCCCCCCCCATCGTGAAAGTCACTTCTGTGGGTTATCTGTGCAAGATAGAGCCTGATTAAAATGGCGCTTCGTTAGGAACCCGTAATGAAATAGACATGGACAGGAGGCAGCTGGCGTTGTCGTCTGTGATGAGGAAAGTTCCGCAGACAGACACCAATCTTGGGGGACGGCCTGTTTCACTCACTAGGGAATTACCTCCTGGCCTGCAAGGTGATCTGTAAGGTGGGAAGGCATGAGACTGCGCACCCAGTAAAGTGGAAATCTATTCTGTAATTCTTTGTCATTGTGGATAAGATATGCAGCTGTTAGACTGCTATATCTTGGATAAATTTCAAATGCCAGTTAAATTGCTAAATGCGATTTGCAGTTGAAAATATCATTATATGACATGATTTGATCTGTACAGTAGTATAGGTATCTTAAATTAATGAATGGGACTTTTATTTTCATTCCCAGGTAGTGCTGTCTGACTTTAAATTAGACACTCCAGCTATTGATGCTCTAGAAACAGTCCAGAGAATTAGAGTCAGATGCATTCCTGGAAAATGCCTTACATTGACACACTAAAACAACTGAGTGCTGTGAGTCTTGAACAGAGAAGATTATGAAGGCTCCTAATTCAAATCCTGAAAATCTTCAAAGCCGTTTTTTCACTGTTGATTGAAAAGAAATGTTTTACCAAAGTAAACATTTTACCACTAACCGCAGGATGCAGCTTGGTCTGTATGCATCTGTCCCAAGGCATTATAATTTCCAAATGCAGCACCAGCACACGTATTCATTTTTTCCTCATCATTACCGGCTGCTGGAAGGCACAGTCTGTAAGTGCGTCCGAGGACTGTGGCCCAACAGTGAAGCTGCATTGTGCTAGGAAGTATTATTCAGTGCCATTTCATGCATCTGCTCATGTGCCCAGGACAGGTAAAATATGAAGGTCTTTCTCATTAGACAGAATCATGAGAGTTCCCTTGACCCTGACATTGATCCAGTACGTTCTCAACAATTTAATCCGGGCCCTGAGTGGCTTTGTTTCTTAATAGAAACTAGTCTAGCAGGTTTTCCCGGGTTTAGTGAGATCTGCTCAATGCCCGAGGACAGATTTCTTGTCACCCTAAAAAAGCTTGACGGAGAATAAGGAACAGACCAGTATAGTGAATCATCTCCCATTCTGTTAGCTATAAAGTGAGAGATAGCAGGCTTCCGTAATGATAAAAGCCTCCAATATGCCTACTTTTCAGTTTCAGTTTCATGCATAATTTGTATAGATTTGGATTTTGAACTTGCCTCAAACGGTTTATTACAAAGGGAAATCGTTTTCCAAGCTCAAATTAGTGAATAACTGCCTCTTAGCGCTGTGGCCCTGGGATCAGTTCCGTACCTGGAGTGGAGTTTGTCTCCTCATGTTTGGGGGGGGGGGTTCTGCCACAGTCCAAAGACATACAGTACTGGTAGCTTGGTTGTCTTCTAGGGAAAACTGGCCCTGCTGTGTGTGTCTGTGTGTGTCCTGTGATGAACTGGCGGTGTATCCTGCCTTGCACCAGTTGCTTGAAGGGATACTCTAGCTTCTTCGCAAACCCTCAGTTGGATGAAGCCGTTAGAAGGTAAACAGATGGATGGGAATTAATGAATAAAAACAATTACTTTGCATAAATGCTGAAACGCATTCTAAGGGAGTTAACAGAGTGTGTCCTGTTCAGATATCTGGGGAAAACTAATTGCAAATGTAATACTTCTGTAGGATGGATGTTGGAGCTCAGGCCTTCCACAGGTTCCAGTGCTCCTCATGTGTTTTTAATGCAACCAAGGTCAAGTGTGGTCCCAAATGATTAGTGCTGTGTACACGTGCTCTGGCTGTTCGTTTCCACTGCAGATTCACCCTCTCTCCCAAATTCCTGAAGGCACAGTCCATTAGGACCTGCAGAAGCACAGAGATACAGTGCGGAAAAGGGCAGAGGGCAGCTGCTGCACTGTAAACAGCTTTACCCTCATTCCACTGCGTTTGTGAAAGTGCACGTCCTGAACAAGATAAACAAGTGTAGGAGCCGGCTGTGGAAAGGAAGAAAGATAATTCCGGGAATTAGTAAAGGGATGTGTAATGCATCAGTATCCTCCCGGTGTCAAGTTATTTAAAGCTTTTAACTCAAACCTTTAGTCCTTGCCCACTCCTGTCTCAACCTCTCTGGCCCTGCCGATCCCCAGTCTCATGTCTCGCTTCACTGCTCTCTTTGCTCCGCCTTTCCCACCAGACTCCCTGTGCCCCCTCCCCGTTCTCGGACTTCCAGAGCCTGCCCTGTCTCCACCCTGGCTCCTCAGTGCTGGA